ACACACACACACACACACACACACACACACACACACACACACACACAGTGGTGTACAGGGTTAGCAAAATAACTCAGCAGCTAAAGGCTTGAGTTTGAAAGCCATGACACACAAGGGGAGTCCTGGAGAGACGGCTCAAGTGATCTCACAACCTGAATTCAAGTCCCAGGAAAGGGGGAACCGATTTTCACAAAGTTGCCATCTGACTTCCGAATACTCAGCCCGATAAATAAATAAATGAAATCTTAATTTAAAAAAAAAAAACACATAAAACAAGCAGACAAAAAAAACCTGAAAACAAAACAAGTAAAAAAAAAAAAAAAGGGGGGGGGAGAATGAGAGGGACTAGATTTCACAAAGAAGGGAAGGAGAAGTTAGCAGGGATAACAGGAAGATGGAGCGGTTGAGGCAAAGCTGTTCCCTTTCTTCCTCCCCGGCTCCCTTACCAACCCCTCCCGGCCCTCCCCCCATTGCTGCTGTGCCTGTTAACTCTGTGGGCAGGAGGAGAAAGACTAGGGTCAGGAGGGGAATCCTCTATGAGTTTCCAGCTCTGTCACAGTCCTGGAGTGACAGGTGTGGCTTCACCCATCCACCCAAAGGATGTGGCTTCCCCCCTGGGCCTTCTGTAAGGAAGTGTCTTTACGGCTCTGAGGTTGAGTGCTGGATAAAGCAGGGGAGCCATGAGGAAGGGAAACAATTCATGAGCTGCCACCGTCTGTTCACAGGCTGCTTCTGGCTCTCCCGGGCGCTCTGCCCTACCTTTGCCATCCCCCGTCCCACCGCCAATAAGCAGCACAGTGTCAGACAGGGGCGCGGGCACCAGGAACTCTCCGCCAGGACAGGCAGCGAGCCCTTTACTGTGCCCATTGCAGCCTCTGCCAGGAGGCCAAGTGGGGCAGAGGGGTGGAGAGAGGCGTGGATCATGGATCCATCTGTGGTTGCTATGGTGCCCCAGGCCGGATTTGCCCATCTCTCCTAATGGAGCAAAGGGTAGAGGGGGGAGGGGGTAGAGAGAGAATAACTGGTCCCTTCCCTCCCCTCTTTTCTCTCTCTGGAGCAGATGTGGGGTATGTGTGGATGTGTAGGGGTGTCTGTTCTGGATCAGAGGTAGTTAAAGAGTAGCATGCCAGGATTAAGAGGTTTGGAGATGGGGGGACACCCTGAGTGAGGAGGGCAGGGCCCACATATCTATATCCAGAAGCTAACTGGTTACAGTGGAAGGGGGGGGGGGAAAGGCTAGATACTAGCATAAGAGAAAGGAGGGAGGGACAGACGGACGGAGGGAGGGGGGAAGATGTGGAGACAAGCCATGTACCAGCCTCTGCCTGCATTCCTCTGAGCCACCCAAACTCTAGGCAGCCTGGATTCCAGGGATCTGAGAGCTGCCAAAGAATGGGCCCAAGGGCAGCAGTGATCAGGCCTTCCCTTGTCTGGGGGCTCCTGAGTTACTGTTTCCTCTGCAGTTGGGCTCTGAGGAGTCAAAGGCCCTTGCGCTCTCTGCCTCCCTTACCCTCCCAAGCCAAGCCCGGATCTGAGACCCTGTGGATGCCCCCAAGGGGGGCTGAAGCCGCCCTGGCTTTTCTCTACTCCGGAGATGTTCAAGAGCTGTCGGGGGCTAACTGCAGCGAGAGTTACGAGGTCCGTGGGGCAGAAGGCAAGGCAGGAATACCCCCAGTCCTACAGAGAGCAGCGGGCACCCTGGCCCAGGCCGCCAATTTTCTCAACATGCTTCTGCAAGCCAATGACATCCGGGAGTCAAGCGTGGAGGAGGATGTGGAATGGTATCAGGCGCTTGTGCGCAGTGTGGCAGAGGGGGACCCAAGAGCCTACAGGGCCCTGTTGACCTTCAACCCTCCACCAGGGGCCAGCCACCTGCAGCTGGCCCTGAAGGCCACTCGGATGGGAGATGAAACCATCCTCCAGGACCTGTCTGGGAGCAGGGTACAGGAAGAGAGCCCAGAAGAGGATCTGGACGGCCCCGTCCTGCAGAAGCGAGTCCTGACCAACGACCTAAGGAGTCTTGACAGTCCCAAGTGGCCACAAGCAGACGGTTATGTGGGGGACATCCAGCAGGTGAAGCTCTCTCCTCCCTTTTTGGAATGTCACGAGGGCCGGCTCCGACCCGGCTGGCTGGTCACCGCCTCAGCCACGTTCTATGGACTCAAGCCAGACCTCAGCCCAGAGGTCAGGTAAGCGGGTTCGGGAAGAAATGACAGATGCCTGAGGATGAGGGGGACACAAGGCCACCGCGCCACCACAGGCCATTTGGCAAGAACATGTGTACATCTAAGGAGGCACAGACGTGCGTGCGCACTCAGCTGGGTAATTTTACAGCTGGCACCAGGAACCTGTAGCTACCTCTTAACATTCTCAGGTGTGAGTCTGCGAGCTGTGCGGGAACCAGTCAGTTCATAGATATTTATCCGCACATCTGTTGATTCGCTTTTTTGTTTTATGTGTGTGTGTGTGTGTGTGTGTGTGTGTGTGTGTGTGTGTTCATTTTATTTTGTTTTCTAATAAGACAGTTTGTCATGTAGCCAGGGCTGACCTGTAACCCTGATCCTCCTGGGATTACAGGCACGTGCTGGGTGTCTGTCGATGTTGTCTGTACCTTAAGCTCACAGACGGGTGAGTACAGACAAGGACGGATCTTGGTTCTCAGGTCTGAGGTACAGACTGAAGAGGTAGGAGAGAACCTGATGACAGTAATAACCCATATTCCTGGCTTCTCCGAGGAGCCACATGGACACTCCAGGAGGCTTCCCAGGAGAAGGAAAAATTCCTGGACAGGGGCTTGGAACCAAAGCCCTTTCTTTCTGTCCAGGATTTGGCTGAGTCCCCAGTGCCATTACCAATGACCAGGCTCTTGGCGGAGCGGGCCCCAGTACCCTGTATGCTGCCGAAACAGTTTGTGATATTCCACAAAGAACTGGCTCTGCCTGCAGCTAGGATAGAGGGCCAGTTGCTCGACGGGGAGGCCAGCAGCAAAGGAATGCAGCAAGGCCAGGCTCGCAACGGCGCAGCAGCGAGCAGAGCATTGCTTTTCCGGCTCTCTGCCCCCATGCATCGTTCCCAGCCGGGCTCCCCTCCTGTAAGCAGGCTTCTGGCCCCTTGCCAGAGCTCTCCCAATTCAGGCACAACAGGGCTTCTCCGTTCCAGGGCTCCTTTGCTGTGATTAGTTCAGACCCGGCTTGGGCAGAGTTGAGGGGCGGTGAGCAGCTGAGCTGCAGATGATGTGTGTATAGATGCAAGTGTGAAAAAAAAAATCCCTTCATGGCGACCAGCAGAGCCCTGGCTCCTGCATGTCCTGGCAGGCCTCTTCCCCCTACCCACTGACAAAAAGCGGAAAACGACAAGAGGCCGAATAGTGGAGAAGTGGGGGGAGCAACCTAGGGGGAGGGGGACTGTTGCCACAGAGACAGGGCCAATGATTGCTGCACTGAGTGTGTGTGCCCTCCTGCCCCTGGGCTGAAGTGTGCAAAGACTGTACCGCCCCATAATCTAGTGATCTCCTCAGAGACCCCCTTGTCCCCCTAACTGTCCGTTTGCTTCCCTAGGGGGCAGGTGCAGATGGATATCGACCTCCAAAGCGTGGACATCAACCAGTGCGCAGGCGGCCCGGGCTGGTACTCTAACACACACCTGTGTGATCTCAACAGCACTCAGGCAAGGAGGGCGGGCCCACTGAGTCCCGCCTTCATTCCCTTTTCACTCCAATGAGCAGTTAACAAGGCCACCCTGACAGCTCAGAGCTTTCAAGGAGGTCCCAAGTGGTTGGCAGAGGTGACAGGGCCAGCTTTTGAAAAGGGAGGCCAAGGTACAGCCTATTCCATACCTTCCACCTCTTCCCCAACAAGCTATTCCTCGGGCCTGTGCGACCTCCAGTGTACCTCCCTGTTTGCCCTCCGTTCTGGTTAGGCCAGAAGCTTTCCTCGGGTGCACACTTCCCGTTCACACAGCCCTGAGCGTCCCGCCGTGGAGAGGATGATGTTCCATTCGTAGTCACTGGAGTAAACAGAATTGCTGGCGGGTGTGGGAGGAGTCCAGCCAAAGCTTGAAAAGGTCTGTGGCTGGTGAAGATGACGAGTTCCAAGCCACACGCAGGATCAAAGGCCTGTGCCTCACAGATATCTGCTCTCAGCCACTGGCCTCAGCCACGGGTTTAGTCTCCCTGCCCGCCGCTGAGGTCACGTGCTGTCCCCCTGCTGAACAAAGTAGAATCAAGAGCTGACCTTGGCATCCCACCAGCCTGGCATTAGGCTGAGGAAAGTAATCCTATGTTAAAGCCAGAAAGGTTCTGACGCAGGAAGCTGCCCCTCCATGTTTTTGTTTTTGTTTTAAGATTCATTTATTATGTATACAGTGTTCTGGCTGCATGTGCACCTGCAGGCCAGCAGAGGGCACCAGATCTCATCATAGATGGTTGTGAGCCACCATGTGATTTCTGGGAATTGAACTCAGAACCTTTGGAAGATGCTCTTAACCTCTGAGCCATCTCTCCAGCCCCCATGGGGCAGGGAGAGCAGGAGGGCTTTTTAACTCATCTGTCTTAGGGTTACTGTTATGACAAAACACCATGACCAAAAGCAACCTAGGGAGGAAAGGGTTAGTTCACTCACGGTTCATCATCAAAAGCAGTGAGGGCAGGGACCTGGAGGTAGGAGGCAATGGATGCAGAAGCCATGGGGGGTGCTGCTTACTGGCTTGCTCAGCCTGCTTTCTTATAGAACCCAGGACCACCAGCCCAGGAACGGCCCTCCCACATCAATCGCTAATTAAGAAAATGTCCTGTAACTGGAGCTTATGAGGGCATTTTTCAACAATTGGGGCTCCCTTCACCCCTGATAACTCTAGCTCAGGTCAATGACATAGAACTAGTCATCACCTGTGTGCCAGGTGGGGCAGGTCACGGGAACCGTTTGAAGCGGGGTATAAGGAACACAGCACGATCGGGCTCTGAGCTCTCTCTGCCTTCACCTCCCCCAGCACCTAGCCTTAGCAACAGCTAGGCACCAGGAAATGGGACATGAGGCCGCTGTAACTGCGAGCCTGAACAAAAGTACTCTTTTCTTGGATGCTCCTTAAAAAGGCCTAACAGCCGGGAATGGGGATGTTTTCAGAGGGAGGGGGAGGGCTGGGCAAGAACCAGAGAAAACTTCTGACAAAATCTCCTAACGTAAACCCGGAAGCCGTGGATGGAGGGGACCGTCCCAGCAGGGAAAGCTTCCAGAGAAAAACATCAAACAAACAAATGTCACTTGTCATCCCCACAGTGTGTCCCCCTGGAGAGTCAGGGTTTTGTACTTGGCCGCTATCTCTGTCGCTGCCGACCTGGATTCTACGGGGCTAGTGGTTCTGGGGGTACGTAAGTATGGAGGGGACTAAGCAGAGGTTTTGCAAGCCAAGGTAAGTTGGGATGGAACACCTAGAGGAGAAGGGTAGGTTGAAGGTCATCCTGGGAGGAAGCGGGGAGGCCAACAGCAGAAAGCCAAGGGGAGAGGCTGGCAGGGCATGGTGGTGCACACCTGTAGTGCCAGCACTTGGGAAGCTGAAGCAGGAGGATTGCCACGAATTCAAGGCCATAGTGGGGGTGCGGGGAGAAGGAGAAGGAGAGAAAGATCAGCAGGGTTATTTGTAGGTGGCTGCCTTCTAATAAACCCAAACACACAGGTCTGAGGCAAGTTAGCCTACCAGTGAGCCTTAGCTGGGCATCACCACTTCCTATTTCCCTGTCCTTCATAGGGCACGCCCCTTCACTTTCATTCCTGGGGCATAAGCTACAGGAGAGCATGTAGCTCCCGGGACCCAAGGCTAGAGCCTCAGAGGTCTCTAGCCAAGCTCCCCTCCTCACCCCCATCCTGTTCTTTGCAGGGTCCAAGGAGACTGCCACCCAGGCTGCTGGGCAATTCGGGTCCCCACAAGGCAGCTCAGGGAAGCTGCTGCGCTGCCAGCCATGTCCTGAGGGCTGCACCAGCTGTCTGGACGCCACGCCCTGCACAGTGGAGGAGGCCCTGGCGCTGAGGACAGCAGTGCTGGCATGCCAGACCTGCTGCATGCTGGCCGTCTTCTTGAGCATGCTGGTCGCCTACCGTTGCCGCAGGAGCAAGGCAAGAAGGCCTCACACAGCTCCTGTGCACACGTCCAAGCCATCTCAACTAGAGGGCTAAGTCTTGGGAGAACGGGTGCTACTCTTGCGTCTCTCCTCCTGAATGTGTGACACTAGGCAGTGACCTCTCTACCCTAGATCTGTTTCCACCTCTGCAACGTGAAGGCACTGTATTTGCTTCAACAATCTCTAGTTGAATGCCTACTCAGAGCAAATCACTAGGTAGTTGGCAGAGTGCAGGGAATCATATGAAAGAAGGGGGAGTTAGTATGACGTGGAAAAGGATAGAAGCTCCACAAAGACCAAATATATCTGGGCATAGGGGTCTTTTCTGAGACTGATACTCCACCAAGGACCATGTATGGATATAACCTAGAACCTCTGCTTGGATGTAGCCCGTGGTAGCTCAGTAATCAATTGGTTTTCCCTAGTAAGGGGAACAGGGACTATTTCTGACAGGAACTCAATGGCTGGCTCTTTGACCTCCCCACCCCCCCAAGGGAGGAGCAGTCCTGCTAGGCCATAGAGGAGGACTTTGCAGCCAGCCCTGAAGATACCTGATAAAACAGGGTCAGATGAAAGGGGAGGAGGTCCTCCCCAATCAGTGGACTTGGAAAGGGGCAGGGAGGAGATGAGGGAGGGAGGGTGGGATTGGGAGGGAATGAGGGATCTGGATACAGCTGGGATACAGAGTTAATAAAATGTAACTAATAATAAAGAGAAAAAAAATCACTAGGTAGTCACCCTACAAGAGAAATAATCTGGGTTCCCATGGAGGCATGGAGGAAGCAATTGAGACAGGAACAGGGTTGGAGGTGGCTGTCAGGTGCCATGGGAGCTTAGAGGGGGGACCCTGTTATTCTGGAGGGGATGGCATTGTGTTTGTTTGTTTGTTTGTTTGTTTGTTTCTTGAGACAGGGTTTCTCTGTGTAGCCCTGGCTGTCCTGGACTCACTTTGTAGACCAGGCTGGCCTCAAACTCATAAGAGATCCACCTGCCTCTGCTGGGATTACAGGTGTGTGCCGCCATGCCTGGCTGAGAAGGGAACTCTTATTCTGGACCAATGTGCAGTCTGATCAAAGCTTGGAGGAATGCCAGAGGCCCTTCCTAGCCTCAGCAACCTTTACTGCGAGCCCAGGGCAGCAGCCCTTGGTGCAAGGGTAGCTAAACTGTAGGGTGAGGCTGGAGACGTGGAGGCTGTGAACAGAGGGTGGAGCTAGCGCTGTAGGGTGGGAAACCCAGGGCCAGAGCGAGCCTCCAGACAGGCCCAGGCCAGGCTTGGCCCTACCCTGCTCACACCTCTCTCCCCTGGGCTCACAGAGGATCCGGTCATCTGGAATCGTCCTGCTGGAAGCCATCCTTTTTGGATCCTTACTTCTCTACTTCCCTGTGAGTCTGTGGCCAGTAGCTGGCCTTTATTTCTTAGTGTCCCCTACTCCCAAACTCTCACCCTCCTCCAGAGTCCTATGCCCCCTTCTTAGGAGGATTTGGCGACTTTAAATTCCCCCTACCAGACAGGCACGGTGGTGCACGCCTATAATCCCAGCACTCGATGGGCAGATCTCTGTGAGTTCCAGGCCAGCCTGGTCTACAAAGTGAGTCCAGGACAGCCACGGCTACACAGAGGAACCCTGTCTCAAAAAAAAAAAAAAAAAAAAAAAAAAAAAAGATGACATTTCTCCCTAGCTGTTCTAACAAATGGCAGGGTAGCCCGGTGGGCTCTGAAGGCAGAGACCCAGGCTCAAAAGAGTTCTCTGACCTGCTGCCTGGCTATGGTTTTTCTACCCTTCCCGAAACTTAAGCCGCAACTCTGCAAAAGGGGAACGTGAGGCCTCCTCTGTGGGCCTGCTGGGAAGATGGCTCACGTATGTGACTCGGAGCTAGAGCGGAGTGAGAGCAGAGCCGACAGCAGCTTTTTCCTTCCCCTGCCATCAGGTGTTCATCCTGTACTTCAAGCCCAGCGTCTTCCGCTGTATTGCTCTCCGCTGGGTCCGGCTGCTGGGGTTTGCCGTCGTCTACGGGACCATTATACTGAAGCTCTCTAGGTAGGGCCTGACAGACCCCCTCACTGCTCTGCTCACGCCGGGCCACCCAGCTCATTCACACAGTGGAGTTTTTCAGAGCCAGACCTCCCCCCCTCCCCCCCAACCAGCCTCAATCGCTCAGCTTTTCCCTCTCCGGGTAACTTTTGGAAAGAGCACAAGAGGTAAACACGTGAAGGGCTGGGAAGCAATGGACAGGATTCAGGGCTCGGGTGAGGTTAAGAGCACTGGCTGCTCTTCCAAAGGTCCTGAATTCAATTCCCAGCAGCCATAGGGTGGCTCCTAACCATCTATAATGAGATCTGGCGCCCTCTTCTGGCGTTCAGCTGTACATGCAGGCAGAACACTGTCTATGTCAATAGATCAATAAATCTTTATTTAAAAAAGAAAGAAAGAAAGAATTCAGGGCTCTGGCCCCAGCCTCGGCCCTCCCAAGTTCCCATGTGTACCTTACTCCCTTCAGGGTGCTCCAACTGTTTCTGTCTCGAACTGCCCAGAGAGGCCCGCACCCAAGCAGCGGGCAGCTGCTGCGGCGTCTAGGGCAGCTCCTGCTGCTGGTGTTGGGCTTCCTAGTCGTGTGGACAGCGGGCGTCTTGGAGCCAGGGATCCAGCACACACCTCTGGTGACCCGAGGCCACACTCCCACTGGCCGCCACTTCTACCTCTGTCACCATGACCACTGGGACTACATCATGGTTGTGGGTGAGCTGCTTCCACCGAGGCCAGCCTCCCCGGGCTCCTAGCTGTTTGCCTCCAGGGTGTTCTTGTGCTAGCTTCCCCAGGTCTGGGCTGCCCAGCACGCTCGGTTTTGGAGATGGTCAGCAGGCTGCCAAGGCGGTAAAGAATCCTGTCCCCTCCTCTCCTCCCCGAATCTCCACAGCGGAAATGATGCTGCTGTGTTGGGGCAGCTTCCTCTGCTATGCCACCCGGGCGGTCCCCTCAGCCTTCCATGAACCCCGCTACATGAGTATTGCCCTGCACAACGAGCTGCTGCTCTCCATTGCCTTCCACACAGCCAGGTGAGCACCAGCCCTCCTTCCTCAGGCTCCTCCCACCCTGCCAACGGGTGAGGGGCTCCATCTAACAGTAATCCTTGCAATGCTGCTCTGCCCACACATGCCCTTCCTATACCCCGGATCTCATTCCGGAGAGATGCCCTACCCACAAGAGGAGGAAATGTGTCTCATTCCTAATCCCTCGCCTCGGTCCTAAATCCCTCAAACCCTCACTCCTTCCTTCCTCTTTAGCCTTCAGAGCAGCAGGCCTGCTGTGTGCTTATGGGGACCTGAGCCTGTGGTGGAGGAAGAAGCAAACCACGGGACCCTAACAGAGTCCTGAGCACAGTTCTGTAACCTGGGCAGGCAGAGGCAGTGGGGTGGAATTGCCTAAGAGGACTCCTCAGAAGAGGGGATTAATGGGAACCTCGAGATTACACCTGTAATCCAGAGAGAGAGGAAGGGTGTCCTGCTGGCGAGTGCCAGGCTGGGGCTAGGGCTGGGGCTGGCACAGGGAGCTTAGCGAGGTGAGGCAGGCAGGCTCTGATGAACACCCTGTCCCATCCGGCCCTCAGGTTTGTGCTGGTTCCTTCCCTGCACCCAGACTGGGCCCTTCTCCTCTTCTTCCTCCACACCCATTGTACGGTCACAGCCACACTGGCTCTGATCTTCATCCCTAAGGTAAGGCCTCTCCCCTACTACATAAGGCAGGCCCTCAGCCCCTTGGTAAAGAACGCTGGGGGCCCACCACCTCACCACCCTCTCCACGTCAGGAAGAAGGAGCATCCCAGGCAAGGACTCGGTTGGGAGAGGGAGCTAGTCCCTGTTTCCCGTTCCCACGCAGGGAACATAGAACCAGGGATGGAGGAGTTGTTGTTGTTGTTGTTGCTGATGTTGTTTTGTTTGGGTTGTTGGTTAGTTTGTTGAGACAGGGTTTCCCTGTGTAGCCCTGGCTGTCCTGGAACTCTATAGACCAGGATGGCCTTGAACTCACAGAGATCTGCCTGCCTCTACTAGGAGTGAAGGCGTGAGCCACCATGTCTGGTCCCCTTTTAATGCAGCTGGTAGACTCTGAGGGTGTGGGGAGCAGTTCATAGAGGCGGGTTGGAGAGCTGAAGGCCATGACTACAGACATTGTGCTGGTCACTGCTGAGGAAGAAAGACAGGGAATTACATTCCCAAACCAGGGCTGGAGAGATGGCTCAGAGGTTAAGAGCACTGCTCTTCCAGAGGTCCTGAGTTCAATTCCCAGCAACCACATGGTGGCTCACAACCATCTAGAGTGAGTTCTGGTGCCCTCTTCTGGCATGCAGGTGTACGTGCAGATAGAACATTGTATACATAAAAAATATATAAATTTTTAAAAATGTGTTTAAAAGAAAAAAAAAATTCCCCAAATCAGAAAAAGAGTAGAGTTAAAGACTCATGAGGTAAAGACAGAGTCGATGAGGGTAGGAGTGGACAGGACACCATTGTGTCTCCCATCTCCCCCACCTGTCCCGGCCAGTTCTGGAAGCCAGGGGCGCCTCCCCGGGAGGAGATCTTGGAGGAGATCTTAGAGGAAGTATATGAAGACGAGCTGGACCTTCAGGGCTCAAGCTCCTACCTCAACAGCAGCATCGCCTCAGCCTGGAGTGAGCGAAGCCTGGACCCAGGGGATATTCGGGTAGGTCTCCCTCTCCCACCCCAGTTCCTTTTATTGTTTTGTTTTGGTGTTTTGGTTTGGTTTTTTGAGACAGGGTTTCTTGTGTGTAACAGAGTCCTGGCTGTGCTAAACTTGCTTTGTAGACCAGACTGGCCTTGAACTCACAGAGATCCACCTGCCTCTGCCTCCCGAATGCTGGCTAGGATTAAAGCTGTGCCCCACCACTGCCTTGCCTTTTACAGTGTTCTGCCTGCATGTGTGCCAGAAAGAGGGTATCAGATCTCATTATAGATGGTTGTGAGCCACTGTGTGGTTGCTGGGAATTGAACTCAGGACCTTTGGAAGAACAGCTAGTGCTCTTGACCTCAGAGCCATCACTCCAGGCCCTTGGTATCAACCTTTAAGGACTAAACAGAGTACAGTTGTGCTGCCACCGGCCTGCATACCACTGAATCACCCTAAGTCTTCCCTCCCTCCAACACTGTATTTCCCTTTTCTACCATCCTCGACCCCCCTGACTACATACAATGGTACTGAAGCCCAGATACCCAGGCAAGAATGCACTCTTGAGCCCATGTCATCATGGGGACAGACTAGAAACGCCTTGAGTCCCTAGCAAAGTGGAATGGAAGGTAACCCTAAGGGTCAGCCATGGGGGCTAGGAAGTTTTGACAGAGGGTGACCACCGGGCTCCCATTTCTTTCACTGAGACCCTGGAGGAGCTGGCTCCCTCTTATCTTCCTTCCCAAGGGCATCGTAGAGAGCCAGGGGTTGGCACGAGACCACGTGGTTTCAGAAAGCCCAAAAAACCATCTTGGGAAGCCATCTGCCTACCCACCTCCCCTCCCAGTTCCCATCCCAGGAGCCTCTTCGGGTCTCTCCATGGCCTCGCCATCTTCTGGGTCCTGCCTAGTCTGCCTTTGCGCTCCTCTCCGAACTGTGGAGCCGGAGCACAGAGAGGCCTAGCCATAGCCACAGCACATCGGCCCCTCCCTTTTTAGAAGACAAGCCAATCTGCTACTCCTGTGCCAGCTTTGGGGAGAAACCCAGGGTTCAGAAGTCTTCTTTGACGCTGACATGTAATGTTCTTCCATGCACCTCCCAGAAAGCTCTTGGGAAATGAACATGGTCACAAAGAAAAAGCAGGGGCGCCAGGCAGTGGTGCTACACACCTTTGATCCCGGCACTTGGAGGCAGAGGCAGAGGCAGGTGGATCTCTGTGTTCAAGGCCAGCCTGGTCTGCAGAGTGAGTTCCAGGACAGCCAGGGCTACAGAGAGAAACCCTGTCTCAAAAGCAAACAAAGAAAGATACAGAGGCACAGTGAGCTCAATAAAATAGCTTTGGAGTACACATGGGTCAGAAGCCACATACCAGCCCCACCCGCCCCCAATGCCACTCATTTTCCATGAGATCACTGTGCCCCCGAGAAGGGAGGGCACCCTGTACCCGCAGAGCTGAATGGAATCAGCTCAGAACCAGCATGGCTCTGGTCTTGAAGGAAGTGCTGAATTCTAAGTTTTAGAAAAAGAAGGGGGAGGGGGGCTGGTAGGGACGGCTCAGCTGTTAAGAGCACAGAATGCTCTTCTAGAGGATCTGGGTTCAATTCCCAGCATCCACACGTCAGCTCACACCTGTCTATAATTCCAGGATCCGACACCCACAGACATACATACAGGCAAAACACCAACGCACGTAAAATAAAAATAAATAAGTTATTAAAGAAAAAGAAAGAAAGAAACAAGAAAGGGACAGAATTTGATGGAAGAGTGATTCCACAGAGAAAACAGTTTAAACAAGGGTCGGGGGTGGGCTCAGCCATCTCAGAGGGGACTCTGCTGCCCTACCCCCCCTCCTTGTAGGACGAGCTGAAGAAGCTCTACGCCCAGCTAGAAGTCCGAAAGACCAAGGAGATGGCCGCTAACAACCCGCACCTACCCAAGAAGCGGGGCAGCTCGCGCCAGGGGCTGGGACGTTCTTTCATGAGGTACCTGGCTGAGTTCCCAGAGGCCCTGGCTAGGCAGCACTCCCGGGACTCAAGCTCTGCAGGCCTCAGCAGCTTGCCAGGCTCTTCTCGACGGAGGCTCCTCAGCTCCAGCCTCCAAGAAACTGAGAAGCCACCAGCCCTGCGCAAGACCCGCAGCACCTACCAGCCCCACAGGGAACATAGCACACCTCCCCTTGACTCCACGCTCAGGAGGACCCTGTCCAAGAAGGCCTCACCAGCAGAGGTCCAAGAGTCAGTAGAGGGCCCCCCAGCTCTGGGCTTCAGGTCGGCCAGTGCTCACAACCTGACAGTGGGAGAGAGGCTCCCCAGAACCAGGCCCATCTCCCTGCAGAAGTCACTGAGTGTGGCAGCTGGCTCCAGGGAAAGGGCTCTGCTTGTGGCCAGTCAGGCCTACCTGGAGGAAACCTATAGGCAGGCAAAAGAGAGAGAGGAGAGAAAGAAGGCTGAGGCGGCCATGGTGAGCCCAGTGCGGAAGCCATCAGCCAGGAGGTTACAGCGACCTCTAAGGGCTCCTCTGTCAGCCCCACCTTCCCCTGCCAAGAGCAGTAGTGTGGACAGCTCTCATACCCTAGGGAGGCCTCATGAGGAGGCTGGGAGGAGGCTGCCTCACCCACCCATCCGGCACCAGGTCTCCACACCCATCTTGGCCCTGTCTGGGGCCTGGCTGGGAGAGCCAAGAATGCTGTCTCCCACCCCAACCTCTACATTGGCTCCTGTTCTGTTGCCAGCTCCAGCCCCGACTCCCATCCCTGTCCTGACACCGGTCCCAAAGTCCCCCCAGAGCCCCACCCTACTCACTTTCATCTGCCCCTGGGAGAACGCAGAACTGCCAGGCAAGAAAGAAAATGTGGTCCAGGAAGGCCCCACAGGGCCAGAGCGAAGTAGCCACTCACCTGCCTCAGCTCGTACCAAGATCTGGAGGGCCCTCTCTGTAGCAATGGAAAAAAGGGGAACTGGGGAGAGTGAGACCGTCACAGAGGGAGGTCACGTCCAGGAAGAAGGTGATGATATGGATGAGGACAAGCCCAAGGTCTTCTCAAAGTCCCACAGCCTCAAGACCCCTCTGCAGCAGGGCTCCGTGCGTAGCCTGGGCCTGGCCATCAAAGCTCTGACCCGTTCTAGGAGCACCTACAAAGAGAGCGGGGAGGCCAGCCCTGAGACTGAGAAGGAAAAGCCTACAGAGGTGAGCGCCGGGGCTCCACCCCGATCTCCCAGGCTGGGCCGGCCCAAAGCAGTGAGCAAACAGGCTGCCCTCACCCCCTGTGAGGATGAGGAGTCCCTCCAGAACCAACAGAATGCTCAGACAAGCAGAATGCTCCATGTTTGTCAAAAGGAGGACAGCAGAGATCAAGAAGATAGAAACAAGAGGAACTCCCAGGGTCTAGGGGAGAAGAAAGTGGAACGAACTGGTAAAATAGCGCTTGCCACACTGAGGCAAGTTTTTGGAGACAAAAATGCTGAACAAGTGAAGGAATCGCCTGTGGGAAACCAAGAGGTACCCACCACTGCCCTCCAGCCCCCAGGCAGTGCTGACCACAGGGTGGCTGAGGTGTGTCCCTGGGAGGTAACTGAATCAGGAACGTGCCAGCCAGAGGTTATCAACAAGGCCAAGATTGGCTCCTTGGAGGGGCCTGAGGGAGGCCTTGAGAAGAAGCCATCAAGACAAGTTCTAAGTAGTTCCTGGGAAGAGAGGGAGAGAGCCCCGGGGGAACCAGAGCCCGAAGGCGTGGGTGCCATTACTCGCAAAAAGCCAGAGAGGCTGGTCCGGAGCCAGGAGGTGGTGTGCCCTTGGGAAAGCATGGAGTCTGGAGGTCTGTCTCCTCAGTTGGCCCATCAGGACTCTAACAGAACCCAGGGCAGGTCTGTGGTAGTAGGCGGCACAGAAGTGAGGAAGGGGGAGGTGAGGCATCCAGAGGCTCTTCCACAGGGTGCTGTCAAGGCAGAGCTGTGCCCATGGGAGATGAGCGATGTGGGGGAGGGGGCATTGGTGCAAAGAGTACAGCAACTCCCTGAAGAACAGCAGAAATCCCCCAAGAAGGCAACCTTCCGGAGAGAACAGAATCTGGGCAGAGACCTGGTGTCTCTTTGTCCGTGGGAAAGTACTGATTTTCGGGGTCCTTCGGCAGTCTCACTTCAAGCCCCAGGAAGCTCAGGGAGTTTGGGCAGTGGCATTGCAGAGGTATGCCCCTGGGAGGCAGGAGAGATATCTCATGACAAGAAAGCTGAGGTCTGTCCCTGGGAGCTGGGCGATGGGCTGACAGATACAGAAACACTGAATCAGGGGACAGATGAGACGTCTCTCCCAGGAAAGGAGAATGCCTCCAGAAAGGGATGCTCAGTTGGGACGGGGGAGCAAACTGTGAGGGCAACGCCCACACAGGAGTCCGTGTGTCCCTGGGAGGAGGCAGCCCCTGAGCAGTCCACCTCATATCCAGACAACTCCTCATCCGCGGCTGGTGGGAAATCCCTAAGCATCGAGGGCAGTCGGGCGCTGCAAGTTTGTCCTTGGGAAGTGCTCGAGCCAGAGGGAAAGCAGGCAACGCCTTCAACAGCAGAAATCTGTCCCTGGGAAGGAGATGGGCGAACAGAAACCAGGATACCAGAACACACACCAAAAGAAGGAGAATTTCAAAAGGATGATAAAAAACCTGAAAAAGCGAGAATCCAAGCATGGGGAAAGGCCGAGGGGCAGAGCCAAAAGCAGGAAGCCATCTGCCCCTGGGAGAGCATGGACCATGGTGGCGCCCCACAAAAAGACAGGGAGAAACCCCAGGGCACTCTGCAGAGGCCAGGCAGCATGGAAGGCAAAGCTGCGGAGATCTGCCCGTGGGACGAGGAGCAGGAGACCCTGGCAGCTGAGAAGGCCAAGATCTGTCCCTGGGAAGTGGGTGCTGGGGCTGGAGAGGAAAGGGTTCTGGGGGCTGAAGCCTCTGGCATCTTTCCAAGTGATACAGGTCAGACATCTGTAGATTCTGGACCCAGCCAGACATCTGCTACTGCTCCAAAGAAGCCAGAGAGGCCAGGCTTGGAGAAGGAGGTTGTCTGTCCCTGGGACAGCTTGAGTCCAGGGGATTCCTCTCAGCAGCCAGACACTCTGAACACTGAGAAACTAAAAGATGGACTACAGAAACTGGACCATGTGAGTGCCAGGCCGATAGAGGTGTGTCCCTGGGAATCGGAGGAAGTTCCTACCAGTGAAAAAGCCAAGATCTGTCCCTGGGAAGTGAATGAAGGAACCCTGGATGAAGGACTGGAACAGGAGATGGGGAGTGAGCCAGCGGAACAAAGGAGAAAGAGTCTGGACATGGCAGGAGCCCCCCTCCAAACAAAAGGCACGTCAAAAGAGGATGCAAAACTCCACCAGGGACAGGAAGAGGAAGCTACCTGTCCTAGGGAAGACAAGGTCTTGGAAACATCTGCCCAGGCCTCCAAGGTCTTACCCAGCAACACCAGTGGTCAAACAGCAGAGGGACAGATCTTGGAAGCAAGTGACAGGGTGACTGACAAGGGAGACCTAAGACAAGACCTGAAGATGGGTTCTCTCCCAGAATCCACAACCCAAGGAAAAGCTCCAGCTTTAAAATCCCAGTCTGCCGTTCTTGGGAGAGGAGCAAGCGAGGAGCGCCAGTCTGTCTGCCTGCAGGAAAGCCTGGTCCTGGCAGGCTCTTCCTCCCATCCACACAGCCAGTGCCCTGACCAACCTGGAGCCAGCTCCCAGACCCTGGTCACTGCTGGGGATCCTGGGATGTGCTCGTGGGAAGCTCCTGACCCAGATCTGTGTAAACCTGACAGTGACACCAAGGTTGAGATCTGTCCCCGGAAGGAGCCTGGGACAGTTATGGAGACAGAGACATCAAGACAAGATGACGAGAAGAAGAAATCTCAAGAAGAAAAAGGAAGGACGCCTGAAATACTGGAGCACAAAGGTGTGGCAGTTCAGAAAACACCCCAGACCAGCAGCTCTGGGCAGCAGGAAGGTGGGGAGAGTCAGGACTTGGGGGTGCAAGCAGCCGAGGGTGCTTCTGATGGAAGCAGAGGCAGTTCTGAGGACGTGAGCTGTGTCGGGGTGGCACAAGTGTGTCCTTGGGAAGTGGAAGAGGTTCCCTCTGCCAAGGAAGTGGAGAGCTGCCCTTGGCAAGCAAGTCCAGGAGCAGTGGGGGAGGGGGCACTGGACGGAGAGCAGGGTGGAGAGTCGCAGGGGGCTGGAGGGGCTGAAAGGCACTTCTTAAAAGCAGCAGAAACAGACTACCCCTCAGAAGGCATGACGTCAGCGGGGCTCCTCCCCGAGGCAGACACTCTGGACACAGACGACCCCAAAGTCAGCCTCCACGGAGCAGGCAGCCCAGGGAAACGGCTAGCAGAAGTCTGTCAGTGGGAAGTCACAGACCCAGAAGGCAATAAAATCAAGGGCACCATGGCAGACATCTGTCCGTGGGAGGAAGACAGGGCCCGACCTGATGAATCTGGCCTCCTGGCTTTAGCCACAACCCAGACAGATGTCCCTGCTGCCCCTGAGAAGTCACTTTGCCTCTCCGTACACAGATCTTTGGAGACCTTTCTCCCAGACAGCAAGAGCGTCCGCCCAGAACTGAGCAAGCCAACCAGTGCTTTTCCTCTGGAAGGTGTCAGAGAACAGGAACCTTTGGGACTTGAGTCTGGAGCCAAGTCAGCTCCAGAACCAAGTCTTGGAGAAGGGGAGGCTCCAAAGTCTTTGTCCTTAATTGAAGAGCAAGGACAAATGGCTTCTGAAGCCGAAGCTGAAGAATTCAGCCTCCCACCTGCCTATCCTTGGGACTGTGAATGAGCACCATGGTAGAGTCAGGGCTTCTTCAGGACACTCCCCACCCACGTTCCAGTGTCCCTAAAGAGCCAACTCAAAAGACTACTTCCTCACCCCAGGAGGCCAAGTGACAACCCATTCAAAAGGAACTGAACAAGAAAGGTGCAGCTTGGACCCCAAGGAGCATTCCACCCTCCTCACTTCTCTTTCTGTTTGAAGAAACAAAAGCTGGACCTTCCCCCTCTTAAGAATTCTGCCATCCGTCCAGAACACCTGACACAGCTGTTCAAGTCGGAACTCTTACGCAGTTTACCCCAGGCAGCAAAGAACTACACCATACAAGGCAGTGGCAATCGGGAGACTGGGCAAGAGACAGCTATAAAGGCATGTAACTAAGGGTGAAAGACGGCCTGAGAGACAGACAGCTCAGTGGTTAAGAGCATGCACTGCTCTAGCCGGGGCCCAGGTTTGGGTCTCAACACCCAAGTTGAGGGGCTAACAACTGCCTACCACTCCAGCTCCAGGGGGATCCTTCAATTTCTTCTTCTGGTCTCTGCGACCACCTACACTCATGTCAGACAGATAGACAGATGTACACACGTACAAAATTAAAAATAAATATCTAAAAGAAGATGAATCACAGGAAAACAAAGGCAAACTATGTGTCTGAAAAAAAAAAAATCTCATAGGCCTAGACCGTGTCCTCTTTCTTACCCCTTTCCTTGTGGCCAGGCTGGTCTAAAACTCAATATGTAGCTGAAGCTGGGCTTAATCTTCTGGTTTTCCTGCATCCACTTCCTGAGTTCCGGGGTTCCAAGTGTGCGTCACCATGCCCACCTGACTCAGTGGTGGCAACTGAGCCCAGAGCTTCCTGTATGCCAGGCCCAAGGACCGTGTCACCTGGACCATATCCCCAGCCAGCCTTTGTCTTCCTGTGGGTACATGCAGTGCTGGGAACTGAAACCCAGTCTTCAGGAATACTAGGCAAGCACCCTACCACCAGGCCACATCCTCCAGCTCGAGGGGGATTCAGACCTGAATCTCCCATGTCTGCTCTACTAGCTCTCATATGCGCCCTGTCTGAGGTAGCAGTCAGTCACGGCTACTATGTCACGGCTCGTATCCAAAGTGACAACAGAGACCAGAGAAGAAAGACACTCTCTCAGAGTCCTCCCCACACCAGACAAGGTGGTCTCCCAGATGTCCCCAGTAAGCCTCCTACCGGTCTTTTCAGCCATCTTCCCAACTTCCTGCACCTGTTCTTGCCGTCTCCAGAACAGGCCTCGCTGCCTCCTCCTCGTCTGTCTGTAGTCAGCAATAGAACCCCTTCCCAGTAAATGCAACTGGAGCCAAGGGGGAATCTCTGGTTCTCAGGCAAGAACCACTCTGACTCACTTGTACTCTTTCCCAGTGGGGCCTGAGAGACAAAATAGGTGCTACCACCATTCTCAGAAAGAGTAGGGCTCTCAGGCTTGAGAGAAGCCCAAGGGCTGGGAAGGGCATCTTGTGAGTACAAAGCCTCTGTAGCACCCCCCCACCCTCAGCTTGGCTCACTTCTCAGCCTTTGGTTGGTTCAGGCTACCTTGCTTAATTAAGCAGCGTGAGATAACAGAGAGTTGGTGTTCGATGATCCTATCGGAAGGAAACTGAAAAACAGACATAGATGGTCTGGCTTGGGAGAGTGAGACCGGTGAGGACAGGCAGACTGATGGAGCAGAGCTGCAAGGGACATTAAAGACAACAGGAAGTCCCACCATCTAACAGTACTGAGCACTGATACTGTTTAAGAGGTGGAAAGCCCCAAATGAGACCAAACAACCAGCGAGAAAACCAGGAGTCTATATGCAAATGCTGAACAGATATAGGGCCTCACAGGACCAAAAAAAAAAAAAAAAAAAAAAGCAGCTCAGTGCCCCATTTCCAAAACGGAACAGAATAGACTCGCCTCGTCTAGTCTCCTTTAGGGGCCATCTGCCCCCATTCCCACACTGAGCCCTCCTACCCACCCAGATCTTCTGCACTGGGTTTCTGCAGCGGTACTGCTGTTCAGGGCTGTGGCCTCTTGAGCCCACAACTTCTGAGCTATGGCGGCTTCGCCAACTGTGCAGCCCAGAGCAACCGGGCTGGGGCTGGTCTGGCTGGGAAGAGCAGTTATCCCCACATTGTTATAGATAGCCACCCGGGAAAATAATAAAGAATGCTTGTCCTCAGCTACAGTACTCGGCTCCGGCTTATTTGTGATGGTGGTTTCCTTTGTCGACACGGGAACAGCAGACAGAAAGCAGTGCCTGCTCCACAGCCATCCTATACCCCATAGGACTTGGGGTGGTCTGGCTTACTCTCTGCCAGTGCCGGGAATCACAGCTAACAGATGCTCTCTGTGTGGTTCTCCTAGCCAGCCCTTCACATCTGGGCCCATTTGCTCAGCTGGATTTGATCCCAGAGGAAATGAAAATTGCTCTTATCCTCTGGTTTCCCAGTGGCAGCTATTACTTAGCTGTGATTTAGGATTATCTAGAGAACCAGAGTCAGATCCATGGCAATGGGATGAAATAGCTTATCTGAATCACTGCTTTTCATCAGTTCAGGAGAAATCAATGCAACATTTGCCTACTAAGCGAGCTTTTTTGTTTCTCGGATTCTCTCCCCTGCTGGGATTATCTCCTTTCCTTCATAACTCCCTGGCTATGGATCCGGCTCAAAGCACTTCTTATTTTCCCTTAATCCAGGGCTCAGGCAAATAGGATGTGCCCAAGCCCCACTTGGACAGTAATGCTGCAAACTGATGTACATTTTAAGCCCTGGAGGTTGAGACTAAACAGTGAGTCTGGTCACTTCGGAGCAGCCCGCCAGGATCTATCTCTTCCCTAAGCATATACCTGTTTCCTCAGTCCATAAGCATAAGCTGTTACAAAAACACCAGGCTTGGGCCAGTGAGGTGCAAACTTAACCAAGTTCAATTCCTGGAGTCCACACTGAAAGGCATACTTTGTCCTCTGACTTCCATCTGTTTTGTTTTGTTTGGTTTGGTTTTTCAAGACAGGGTTTTTCTGTGTAGCTTTGCCTGTCCTGGATTTGCTTTGTAAACCAGCTCCATCTGAAAGCTATCACGCACACATTCACACTCAAACACTCTCACACACAATAAACAAATAAATAAATAAATAAATAAATAAATAAATAAATAAATAAATAAATAATAACATTGATAAATAAAATATCCCCCAATAAAGCCTCTCCTGTTTGCAGCTTTGCTGAAGTGGCAGGTTTAGAAAGACCAGAGTTAGGTCACTTATTTCTAACCCAATTACAGTTTCCCTTTCTCCTACTCTAGACACCATCAGACCAGATTAATTCTAACCTTAAGTGACAAATAATTTAAGTATGAGAACCTTGGCTGTCACTTTTCCTGTGTTGTTAAACCTAGGGCCCCATACGTGCAAAGCAAACAGTCTACCTATTAAGCTGTACTTCCAGCAGGTCCTGTTTTTAAACAAAAACTCACACTGGATTGAGGAACTCAAAAGCACTCTGAACCAAGCTTGCTGCTGGAAAAGTAAGACTCCTCTTATGCCCAGATATCCCGGGACACTGAGCATTCAAATCCCTAAACCCTTCTCCGCCCAGGCTGGCCTTGACCTTGCAGAGATCCACCTGTCTCTGCCTGAGTGCTGGTGTACTGCCTTGGTGTAGCTGGGAAGAGCCAGGCTATGGTTTAATCTCCAGGGGCAAAAAGGTGGCAGTGGGGGTAGGAGGGTCTAATACTTAAGGATAAAATGTAGGATGGGCATGGCAGTCCATACCTATAATACCAACAATCAAGGTGGCAGAGGATGGAGGGTGGTGACACAAACCTTTGATCCCAGCACTTGGGAAGCAGAGGCAGGCGAATCTCTGAGTTGGAGGGCCAGCCTGGTCTACAGTGGAGTTCCAGGTCAGTCAGAGCTATTCAAAGAAACCCTGCCTGGAAAAAACAAACTAACAAACAAACAAAGAAAAAAGATGCAGAAGGCTAACAGGAAGTTTAAAGCAAGCCTGGGCTATATAGCAAGTGCCAGGCAAGGCAGGTCTTACCTTACTCCAAACGGAACAAAACAAAACAAAGTACACTAAAAGCTGGAGGACATTTTTTTCCTTTGGATTATATATAAAAATAAATAAGATAAAAAATAATTTTAAGCTGGGCCTGGTGGTGTGCTCATTGAATTCCAGCATTGAGGAGGCAAAAGGAGGTGGAGGGAGGCTAGCCTGGTCTACAAAACAAGTAATAGTACAGCCAGGGCGGTCACACAGAGAACCCTGGAAAAAAGGCCCGCTTCAGTAAGTATATCAAAGAGACCTGTTAAAGTAATATGCAGGGACGGAGACATGGCTCAGTAATTAAGAGTGTTTGTTGCTCTTGCAGAAGACTCAGTTCCAGTGCCTAGCACCTATATGTTGGTTTATACCCACTAATAACTCTAGTTCTGACATCCCCTTTGGAGCTCCCAGGGCACCAGGCAGGCATGTAGTGCACAAACATACATGCAGAGAGAACCCTCATACGTAAGAGAATTAAGCACCACCCTATTTTTTATGGCTGTCATGACATGACATGACCTCAGGTAGCCGAGGTGGACTTTAAATTGCTGTGTGGCCGAGGATGACATTGAGCTCCGATCCTCCTCTTGCCTCCACTTCCCAAGTGACAGGATTACAGCAGGATACCTTAGTTTATAAACAGTCTAGAGCTCCTGGAAGCTGCATCACTCACAAGTACACTGGTTTCCCACTTCTGACGTCACAGAACCACTATTGCCAGTTTGAACTAAGGAAGATGCACAGAACACAGTTTAGTCAATACTTTGATAAATAATAGTACTTTATTTCAAATGCCGATCTCCCCTCTAGTTAGAAAAAAAGAAAGATGTCTGCTCCCACAGTTCCTGCCGTGAAAACCCCAGCATCACGTTTGTTCTCTCACACACTACTTTTCATTTTAACTCAGAAGCTAAATATGATTTGAAAAAGAAGATGCTCCATGGCTGGGCATCCTAGTCACCTACCAGGGCCAGATATCAGTCATGACTGTAAGAGGTAGCGAGCACACTTTTTCGTTTTTTTAAGACAGTTTTTATGTGTAGCTCTGGCTGTCCTGCAACTCACTCTGTAGACCAAGCTGGCCTCAAACTCACAAGAGATCCATGTGCCTCTGCCTCCTGAATTCTGGGATTACAGGCTTGCCTGCCCCCCAACTCCCATCGGCTCCTCAGGAGTCATTTATGCCATTAGGCTAGCGGAGGCTTATGGGCCTCTCCTGGTGTCTCTTCATACTCTTCACATGGTTTCAGCTGAGGACCAGGAAACATCAAGGTCTGAAAAGAAGGAACAGGAGACGGAAGTTACCTAGCAATCAAGCCTGTTGTTTATCCAGAATGGCTTTACTCCCTCACCAAGCAACCCAGTAACTTCCCTTCCCTAGTGTTGCGTCGTTCCCTCTCTCCACTAGATGGAGCCCAAGGGGAGGGTTTTAGGCTGTCAATACTGTATACAGCCTCAAGTCTCTTAAAAACATGAAGCTGCCTTACCTTGAGGATGGGCTGCTTAGGGGGTGCCCATGGGGGTACAATCTTGGCATGCATTCTCCAGCTCCCATACGGATTCATCAAGTGTCTTTCAAACACCACATACTCCAGGACATCCTTGGGCACATCTTCCTGTCCATACATCAACCGGCCAAACCGATCATAGATGGCCAAAGTCTGCAAAGAGGAAATAACGGCTGGCCTATCAGAGGAGTTTGTCTTATTCTGTTCTTGCCACACAATCATTTTTGAAGCAATCTTAACAAGAAACTTTAAATTCAAGAAAATTTAAATTATTTCGGAATTCTGAATTTAGGGCTAATCAGTTGTTGACATATTACTCTTCAAGGTTCTTAGATGGATGGGGAATGGTGGGGAATCAAAAACAGAAAAAGTAAAAGCCCTCATAATACATCTTAGCGGACATAACACTTAGCAGTAGAAAAAAGACTGTGGCAAACTTCTCCTGAGAACCCACAGACCTGGGCCAAGAGGTGGAACACAGTGGTAGGAGCACTCCCCCAGTACACATGAAGCTCTGAGTTCAACCACAAAACCACAAAAAACACACAGCCCTGAACTGAGTAGTTCAGAGACAGATGCCCAACCTGAGAGTCACAGTGATACAATTTAATGAAAATTTCTCTTGCATTCAAAGAGACTGAGCGTTTTTGCTGTACCTGGGCCCAATTAATACCATTGAGTTCACTTAGGACTCAGCCTGTCATCCTACTGCGTGCTCAGCCTAAGTTTAACTGGCCTTTAGGAGAACAATGTAATGTCTTGGACTTCCCATGTAATCTGCTTTTACAACCTAGGCTAATACATAGTTATGAACTCTTCTGAGCCCCGACCCAGAAAAATGTATGTGTACGTTGCCGTAACGATTTGTTGAGAGCAACCTTACACAACAATACCACCAGAAATGCTGGGAGGGCCCTGCGGATGCAGCTTGCTAGCGTGTCTGCAGGACCATTTACTTTTCTGAGTGCTTCAGGAGCAGCTGGGCGCAGCAAGGTTTGTGCCATGGTAAAACTCGGAAAGATTTCTTCTAAGACTCCACTACCCCCTTTCCATTACCCTGGTTTTCATGCTAGTCAATAAGTACAGAGCAGAGCCCTTTGTTAGGGACAGGCACGGCGGCAGCTAGACAGGCAGGCAGACACATTTGAGACACGGACTATGGGGAGGCCAGGAACCACAGAACACACAGATGGGAGAGAAGTGGAGAATTCAAACTTGGGCTTGCTCTTGGTCAAACTACTCCAACAGGAAGTCTGAGATTTCATTCCTTAAAGCAACCCTGGCACGTGCAGTGTCTCTGAGATGTTCTCTTTCCTGTCCTGAACGTGGAGGGAACAAGAGTGAGCCTACCTGGCGAGTGTGCAGGCGCACGGTGATCTGGCCATACATGTTGCTCTGGTTCACCAAACCTGAGGCACGAACATGAACCACTTGGGCTGGCTCTAAAGACTCCACAAAGCTCCAGCGGACGGTCTTGTACTTGAGATCCCAGACCATGTCCTGAGGGAAGAAGAGAAGCATTCACGGGATCTCCCTCCTGTGAGGTGCTGCCGAGTCTACACATCATACCAGTGTGAGCAACGAGCAGTGCAGTCCATTCTACCCCCAACCCCATTTCAGGGGTGGACTGGAGGTTGAGACAGACTCACTCTGTAACCAGGAAGTAGTGCTGGCTCAGTAGTTCAAGCGCCAGATTTACATATGAAAGCCACTGCTCAGCTCTCTTCCCAAGTTTTTATGTACTATTAAATTTGTACTTTATTATTCTATGTGTATAAGGTGTTTTGCTACATATATGTCTGTGTATCATGTGCATGCCTGGTGCCCATGGAAGTCAGAAGGTGTTGGGTCCTCTGAACTGGAGTTACAGGCAATGTGAACTTCCAAGTGGGTGCTGAAAACTGAATCTGGGTCCTCTGGAAGAACAGCTAGTGCTCATAACTGCTGAGCCATCTCTCAAACTACTCTTTGTATTTTGCAGCTTTCTAATTTTTTAAATTACGAGTATGTGTATGTGTCTGTGTTGAGAGTAGGCAACATGTATTTGGGTCCCCACAGAGAACATGGTGTGCGGTTCCCTGAAGCTGGAGTTACAGGCTGTTGAGAGTGCCTGACCTGGGTGCTGGAATCTCAACTCCAGCAAGTTCTTAAGCTCTCTGGAATGGAAGTTTTGGTTTCTTTAAAAACTCAGTTATGTTATGTAAATATGTTTTTGCTTTAATCCCAAGTTTGGGCTTTAGTTTGTCCACAGCTGATAACTGTCTCCTGCAGGATGTGGTCATGCAGCACAGAGAGGGGCGTAGCCTCAGGCTCCAAGGATATAAATATGAGAGTCCAGAAAGAGAGAAACTGAGAAACATTTCAACGCAGTGGCGAGAAGGAGACTGCTTGCTGCTTTTGCTGTTGACGGAGATTGGGATAGCCGGTAAGAACTCATAAACCCTAAACGACCTGGAGAGGTAACCGGGTCTTTGGGCCCTCTCCCCACTAGCCTTCTCTTTCTTACCTGGGGTTGGGGGTTGGAAGGGAGAGGCTTTAAGGAACCCCAAATAAAGCAGTTTAAAAACAAGCACTACACCTCTCAACTATCTCTAAAATGTGACCAAGCTACTGGAAATGCTAACCACCCAACCACATTTCTACTAAACTACTACTCAGTCACCCCCCCCCAGAGGGCTTGTAGCCATTCCATACTTTATGGGTTCCTTTCTCTCTTCCACCCTTCTCCACCCCTTTACTTCTTCCCTTTCAACCCCCTAACACTAGACAGGAGGGAAAAAAGGATAGAGGGGAAAGGACCGTTTTCCTTAGACTACTTCCTGCTGATTAGTGGTGTAGTGTTCCTGGGCAAATCTGATCTTCGCTGTCAGGATATCTAATTTCTTTTTCTCATCTTTTTGCACAAGACTACTCGACAAAAACAACCAACAGCATCCAACCACCGACCAACCACCCCCAAGAGCTCTAGCACTTAGATGGCCATTGTAAAGTCCTCAGAATTCCAAATGTCACACACTCGCAAAAACTATCTGCAGCTGGCAAAACCATGGCCAGAGCACAGGGCAAACCATCATCAGCTGCTGTAAAGAAGTCCCATATCCCTGAACCTGGGATGAAAACAAAAAAACAAAACAAAACAAAACAAAACAAAACAAAAAATAACCCCGTAACATTTCTGTGCTTTTGTTTTTATTTATAATTTGTACAATATCATGCCTGCATGCCAGAAGAAGGCACCAGACCTCATTATATAGATGGTTGTGAGCCACCATGTGGTTGCTGGGAATTGAACTCAGGACCTTTGGAGGAACAGTCAGTGCTCTTAACCTCTGAGCCATCTCTCCAGCCCTGTGCTTTTGTTTTTAAAGAAAGCAAAATTACACAACTCTCACTACAGAACTCTTTCCAAGTCACTGAAAATCCGCTCCACACCCCACCTGCTCCATGCACCTCCTCCTCCTCCACATCGTCATCCCCTGCGGGTTACCGCACGGACTGCCATTGATAGGACGTGGTTTTTCTCTCTCTTGTTTTCATTTTACCCCATCACATTTCAGCAGAGTAAGGGAGTGTTTGCCAGAGCTGTCAGAACTACAGCAGATGAGACATCCTTGTCCCCAGGGAGAGTGACAGAAACACAAGCTGAGTTTGTAGACAGGAATGTTCTTATTCTAGAACCTCCAGCTGACTTATTAGGACTCCATTCTTGTGGGCTCCTCAAAGGACCGGGCACCACCTGTCACTATGTACTATATATAAGCCTCGTGAATTTTGGTTAAAACCTTTAGCACAAGGTAGACACGTGAAGTGAGGCCTCACAGTTAGTGCTCGCCTTGAGAATCTACACCCTGTGGTTCATTACCACCCACAAGGGACTTTCTCTTTCCTCATTTGCCATGTCTGTGTCATGACATTACCATTCAGCTGAAAATAAAGGACTTAGGCTGGAGAGAGGGCCCAGCGCTGAAGAGCACCAGCTGTTCTTCTAGCAGGACCCAGGTTCAATGCCAAGCACTCACGTGGTAACTCACAACTGCCTGTAACTCCAGTTCTAGGGGAGCTGGCACCCTCATACAGACATAAAGGCAGGCAAAATACCAATGCACAGTAAAAAGCAGAAAAACTTAGCTTCCAAAGCCAGGGCAGTGGTACATGCACGTGATCCTAGCACCAGCAAAGCTGAGGCAGGAAGACTGCGAATTGGTAACCTGAACTACACAGTGAGACCCAGTTTCCCCAAAAAATAAAAATTAAAAAAAAGAAAAAAAGTAAAAAAAAGGAAGAAAAAAGGGGACAAAAAGCAACAACAAAAAAGAAAAAAGTCGAAGCGTGTTAGGGGCGCCCTTAGCTACAGAGAGTCCATCATGTATATAGTCTCCATTTTGAACTGAGCTAAATTCCCAAAAGCAACTTCTGGCTCAAATGTCCAGGGCTCATCTAAGCCTCAATATCTCACTCTATGCTTCACTGGTTAGCACCCAGCTGGGACCACAGCCACTAAATGAGCTCTGACTGGCTGGCCTTGATCTAGGCCAAGCTATCAAGGAAGCCACCTGATACTCGATATGTAGAAGACCACCTAAAATACCAGGTGAGAAATATCCAGTACATGCTTGAACCTGAGTGGATGCCCCCAACCGACTTAGTCTGAGGCTTCTGTCTTAGACGACCTGTGCTGCCCCTGACTTACATGGCGTGGATCCTGAACTCAGTCGCCTCTCTGACAATTCAGCTTTTGAATAAAGAAACATTCGCTGGCTCAAGCATGGTTTTCATAGTGGATTATTCCCAAATCCTCGGGCTTTAACAAAGTGATGTCTAGAATCTGCTTGGTCAGGCATCCCACCGTTCTGAGGATGAGAACCTACCGGGAAACAGTGTTCAGTAACCAAGGTATGAAGCCGGTCGTGGTCTGAGCTAGAAAAGAAAAAGAGGTGTTTGTCATTGATTCCTATTCTTATGCTACCCACTAGGAAATATGGCTGATAAGGTGGCTCAGGGGTAAAGGACCCTGCCACCAACCCTGCTGGTAAGCTGAGTTCAATCCCCAAAACCCACGTGAAACAAACAGACTCCTGAAATTGTCCTCCACATGTGCTACATGTGTGTTCCCATTCACATATATACAAAACAAATAAACAAAGGGTTTTTTTAAGTTAAAAATGGTCCTGAAGTTCATTTATACAAATATTTTCTGCTTACATACTGTAAGCAACATGATATGCTAATTTGTGATCTACAACAAAACTGACATTTAATAGCATTTAATAGTTTATATTTCTGGAGTAGAAAGAAATTTCTCTGAAATCACATCTTTTGTTTGTTTTTTGAGACAGACTCTGTGTAGGCCTGGCTATTCTGGAACTCTGCAGACCAGGCTGGCCTTGAATTCAGAGATCCGCCTGCCTCTGCTGGGATTAAAAGCATGAGCCATCACCACCCAGCCAAAAATCACATCTTTAAGGTGAACAAGAATGTTCATGGGCTGGAGAGATGGCTCAGAGATTAAGAACACTAGATGTTCTTGCAAAGGTTCTGAGCTCAATTCCCAGCAACCATGTGGTGGCTCACAACCATCTGTAGTGAGAGCTGGTGCCCTCTTCTGGCCAGCAGGCACACATGCAGACAGAACATTGTATAAACAATAAATAAATAGAATTCTTTAAAAAAAAAAAAGAACGTTCACTAAGGCCTGGACTGCTTCCTGCTCTGCCCTGGTACAGGGAACAAAGTCCAACACCATACAAGAATAAAAGCCCCTTATCTCCTCTGATGGTGCATGAGTCACTCCTCAGTGCCAACGGCCGCCTTGTATCATACACTGTCCTCTTTAAACCAACGAAACATGGCCATGTGCCATTTCTGGCCTCTTCCCCCATCTTCAGACTCTTGAAGTAGAGGAAGGTGGACTCAGATGCTATGTCTCTCCAAAGAGTCCTGCATCTCTAAGGCAGGACTGGAAAACTAGCCCACCAGGCTACAAATGAAGTGTTTCTTTAGCTCAGATCTTAGTGTGAAATGAAAATTAAAACTGAAGAAAGTAGAGAAAGGAAACACCCTCCACCCCTGGGCTCAGGGACTGTCACAGACAAGCATGCAGAAAGACTGTGACAGCCAGAGGCTGGGGAGGACCACAACAGTGTCTGTGAACATAGCAGGACCATCGCATTCAGGAACTCACAGCAGCTCTGACTGCCAGCCTCAAGCCAAGTCAACACTCTAACATGGTGTGGGGCGGGGCTCCGAAGCTCCACCCCTAACTGAGGAGCTAGTGATAGTTAAAAGATTCTGGGGGAGGAATTTTCTTTGTGGGTAGTTCAACTAGCCTGCAATGCAAGGCCTTATATTCCTGTATAGACATAGGTAGCACAAACTGAACTTGGTGGGTTACCCAAAAACGAGCGGTGGGGATCAGAGAGACATCAGTGAGGGTCAGGAGTGCCAGCGGGGTGAATATGACCACATTACATGGTGTGAAATCCTCAAAGCATTAATGAAAACTTTTTTAAAATGAAGAAAATATTATCAATTAACAAGTGGAAGGAGATGTGGTGGTGGTGGTGGTGGCGCACACGTTAATCCCAGAACTCTGGAGGCAGGGGCAGGCAGATCTCTGAGTTCAAGGCCAGCCTGGTCTACAGAGTGAGTTCTAGGACAGCCAGGGCTACACAGAGAAACCCTGTCTCGAAAAACCAAAAACACAACCAAACAAACAAGCAAAAACACAAATGGAAGGAGAAAAAAAAAAACATGAAAAAAATATCAGTACATAGCAAAGGGCCAGTGAGATGGCTCTGAAGGTAAAAGTGCTTGTTGTCAAGACTGAGGCGGCTTGAGTTTGATCCCTGGGACTCACATAGTGGGAGGAGAACTGACTTCCACAGCTGTTCTCTAGTTTCTGCACATTTGCTGTGTGCAAACACACACTAAATAGAAGAAGAAGCAGGGTGCAGTGGTGCACGCCTGTAATCCCAGCACTGCAGGTCTAAGGCCAGCCTGGTCTCTATAAGGTGAGCCCAGGACAGCCACAGCTACACAGAGAAACCCAAAAATCAAAAACAAACACACAAAGAAAAATAGAGAGGGAGAGAAAGAGAAACAGCATGAACAACAGCATGGTAGAAAAAGAGAAAAGGCGAACAGCAGCAGCAAACCATGTTCCTGGGAGTGGTGGCAAGCGAGGCAGCGGCACCTGGGGCTCTCTGAGTTCCAGGCCAGCCTGGTCCACACAGGGAGCTCCGTATCGGGCAGGGCTACATACAAAGATCTATCTTAAAAGAAAGGAAAAGAAAGAAAACACCAAGGTTGGATGATAAAAAACAAAGAGGTTGAAAACATACACGGAGGTGCAGGGAGAACAGCCATCTTGTATGCACAAGCCCTGGGCTTAAGCTCCAACACACTACAGTCCCACTGACCAACAGACTTCTTTTCTTTCCCTTCCCTCTTTCCTTTTCTCCTTCCCTTCCTCTCCTCCTTTCTTTCTCTCACACATACAACTCCCCCAAATCGACAACAATCCAAGGATTAGTCCTTCAGACTGCACCAGCGCAGGGGCAGGGTGTAGGTCAGAGACAAAACACCTACTTAACTCAAACTAGGCCCCTTGGTTCAATCCCCGGCAGTACAAAGGACAGGAACAAAGACAAAATTACAGAAAATAAAAAATTTCAAAATGTATCCCAGGTCCCTACTGTTGAATTTGCATCTGCTTAGCAACTTTGACTTGGGTGAATTAAGACAAAATTGCAAGTTATCAAAAGGAAACTTGGGAGCTGGAGAGATGGCCCAGAGGCTAAGAGTACTGACTGCTCTTCCAAAGGACCGAGGTTCAATTCCCAACACACACATGGCAGCTCACAACTGTCTGTAACTCCAAGATCTGACACCCTCACACAGACACAGATGCAAAAAAAGCACCAATGCACATAAAATAAAAATAAACAATTTTTTTAAAAAAAGGAACTTAATGAAAGTTAGCAAGAAAAGAAAAATGTTTGTAATAAAATAAATACACAAAAGGAATCAGGATGGATTATGGGATCGGGTAGAATGAAAACAGAAACCATTGGATTAGAACCAAGACAGACCAAATCATTAAAAGATAATTTTTTAGAAACCCACTCAAGCCAGGTGTCACAGTGTCTGCCTGTTATCCCAGAACTCAGAGGATTAGGAAGAAGGATCAAAGGTTGGAGCCTGAGACTAGAGAGAAGGCTCAACAGTTAAGCACACTTCTTTCTCTTGCAAAGAACCCAGGTTTGGGGCTGGAGAGATGGCTCTGTGGTTAAGAGCACTGGCTGCTCTTCCAGAGGACCCAGGTTCAATTCCCAGCACCCACATGGCCGCACACAACTGTCTATAACCCCTGTTCCAGAGGATCTGACATCCTAACACAGACACAAATGCAGCCAAAACACCAATGTACATTAAATAAAAATAAATAAAATCTTTAAAAAAAAAAAAAAGAACCCAGGTTTGATTCTCAGCACTCATATGGCTGCTGACAACTGTCTGTTATTGCAGAAACTCCTTTTCTGGCCTCCAAGGGCATCAGGCACTGAGGAGGTACACAGACATGCACACAGGCAAAACACTGACATACACAAAAAATAAAATTAATAAGGAACTCTTAAAAAAAAAAAAAAGTTCAAAGCCAGCTTGGACTATAAAATTCAACGAAAAATTGCAATACATAGTGAGATCCTTCTTCTAAAATAAAAACAAGGCCCTTGTAGTGGCACAGACCTTTAGTCCTAGTAGTTAGGAGGCAAAGGCAGGTGAATCACTGTGAGTTGGAGGCCAACCTGGTCTACATAGAGAGTTCTAGAATAGCCAAAACTGCAGAGAGAGCCCTTGCCTCAAACAACAACAAAATCAAGAAGGAAAAAAAATTTTCAGTTACTACTTTTTATAGTAAGAAATCCTAAAATTCTTTTTTTTTCTTCTTTTTTGGTTTTTTGTTTTTCAGAGAGGGTTTCTCTGTGTAGCCTTGGCTGTCCTGGATTCTTTGTAGACCAGGCTGGCCTTGAACGCACAGAGATCCACCCGCCTCTGTATCCCAGAGTGCTGGGATTATAGGCGTGCACCATGGCACCATCGAGAATTCTTACTTGAAGGGGGAAGAAAGGGAAATGTACCTAGAATAGTAGCTGTGGATACTGAAGGTACACAAGATGGGGGCATCACTTACTTGTTTAGACAGAGGTGAGCTTCGATGAAAATATCCTTAGCTTTTTCAGGGAAGTCTTTTGTTTTAAAATTAGCATCAAATTCTTTTATCTTTCGAATTCTGTAAAAACAAGCATGAAAACCATCATGAGGATGGCATCACAGCAGGCAAATCACACAGGACTGCTTACCACTGGTCCTAACAATCCGAGTTGAGTCTCAGGGACACACATGGTAGAAGGAAAAGACTGACTCCCACAAGCTGTCCTGATCTCCATGTTTGTACTGTGGAGTGAACTAGCAAGTACGCATGCACATACACAAACAAACAAACTGTAATAAAACTGTAAAATCTTCATGTAATTTCCGTAACTCATAATCCACATTAATCTCCATGTCCATCTACCCACTTAATTATTTTTGAATGTGTCAAGACAGTAAATTAAACTTTCTTTCAAATCAGATGTTGCAAAGAAAGAACGTGCAGGCCAGGAATCAGTGGTTCATGAGTGGTACATGCCTTGAAAATGGGAGGCAGCGGGGGTGGGGGTGGGGGTGGGGAGGGCCCCATGCGCCTTTAATCTCAGCACCCAGGAGGCAGAGGCAGGTGGATCTCTGAGTTCGAGGCCAGCCTAATCTGCAGAGTGAGCTCCAGGACAGCCAGGGATACACAGAGAAACTATCTCGAAAAACACAAACAAAACAATAACAACAACAAAAATGCAGAAAGAGAAAAGTAATCATGGTATTATATGACTCAGCTGTCAAGAACATTTTTTTGGCATACTCTTTTAATCCCAGCACTCAGGAGGCAGAGGCAAGCAGATCGCTATGAATACAAGGCTAACCTAGTCTACACAGGGAGTTCCAGTGCGGCTGAGGCTACATATTAAGACTCTCCCAAAAAATAAAACAAGCTAGGCATGGTGGCGGCACTTGGGAGGCAGAGGCAGGTGGCTCTCTGAGTTCGAGGCCAGCCTGGTCTATAGAGCAAGTTCCAGGACAGCCAGGGCTACACAGAGAAACTAGGAATCCCAATGTTCAAGAAGCTTGGAAAAGGAGATTGCCAAGTTCAAGGCTAGCCTGGACTACTTAGCAAGACCTTGACTCTACTTTAGGGTCTAGAGAGATAGCTCAGTGTTTAAGAGTCCTTGCTGCTCTGGCAGGGGACCTGGCTTTGGTTCCAAGCACCTATATGATAGCTCAAAATCCAAAAATCACTGTAACTCTAGCTTTAAGGGATCTGATGACTTCTTCTGGCCTCTATGGGCACTGCACCCACGTGACACACTCACGTGAAGGCAAAAATAAATAAATAAATAAATAGATAAATAAATAAATGAATGAATGAATGAATGAATGAATGAATGAAGGCGGATCAACGTAATAGTCCATATAACACAGTAAGGATCAATTATCACATGTCCTCAGCCTAGCATACTGAACCCTAGTTGTCTCCGATACCTACGCCAATTGTGACGCCACATTCTTTCTTAATCGATCAGCTCTCTGCGTCAGTCCTTCCTTTGAAAGAGATGACATCCGGGCATCCCCTTCCGGAGGAACATAGGGGTCAAATATTCCAGCTATAAGGAGAGAAGAAAAACTAAGAAACTGTTGAAAGATTGAGAAAACATCACTTGAGATCAGATATAACTGGGAAGGGCACAGGAGTTAAGGCGGACTAATCAAATAAACTTGCACATAGAGGAAACTTCGTCGTAATACTTGTGCAAGTCCCAGGAACTATGGGAGAGTGCTACTGAGGCTTCTTTTGCTATATTTAGGGGAAAAAAAGAAGACAAAACAAAAAGGAAAAGAAAGGATAATTTAACTCCCCCTGGAGTCTGTGTCCACTTCTACAAGCTGGAGAAATTTCATTCTTTCCAGAAGTGTAAAAACAAGATCAAAAGATGACCTCATGAGCAGGACACGTGGTGCAGCCCTGAGTCTCCCCTACTGTTTAGGCAGGAGGGTCACAAATTCTAGTCCACCCTGAAAAACTTAGGAAGAGTCTGTCTCAAGGCAAAAAGAAAGGGAGACTAGGGGTACAATTCAGTAGTAGAGTGCTTGTTTATCCCAAGTAGTGGAAAAACAAAACAAAACTGACCTTATTTAATACAGTATATATAAAGTAAATCATTACCGAGGTCGAACCTAGTGGCTAATTTAATGCTGTCAATCAAAGTCTGATGCATGCCAAGGGCCAGATCTCGGAGTAGAGGATTGAGTCAGGATCCCAGAAGTACTGCACCTCACCTGTGCAGGCCAGATGTATAGGGCGCTCCATCCGTTCCTGGGGAATAACCAATCCTGCTTTCCTGGCATATTCTGAAAACTCCTTTTCTGTTTTGTACTTAGGTTCAGGATAAGGGAGTTTGAAACGGGTTCTTGTTTTTACTGGAACTATGGCTGTGGACTGAGGCACCAGTATGGGCTGAGAGAGAAAGGAAAGGTTAGTACCTAAGTGATTTGGAAAGAAAAATCTATTTTGAGCAAACTGTATGCAAAGTCTTATAGGAAGGATACATCCAAAGAATGCTCCAGGAGAAGTTACAAAACTACTACAGAAAAACGGTATTACTACTTGAATGCCCAGACATGGCTCATACCACAAGCCAATTAATAATCTTTATTAACACTCACTAAAAGCTTTTCTCTAATACATTCTGTAGTACTACAGTATGCAGAGATGATTAAAGTGCAGGTCCTACCATTAATGAACTTTTACTTTAATGGTGAACCTTAGTTATGAACCCAATACTGAAAAGAGTGTTATTAAAGACAAAACCCTGTCCTTTCCAATCTTTTTTTTTTTTAAGAATGTAAAAGAATTTAGCGGAGGATGGTGGCGCACGCCTGTAATCCCAGCACTCGGGAAGGTAGAGGTCCCCAGTGATTTCAAGGTAGAATCCAGGACAACCAGGGCTACACAGAGAAACCCTGTCTCGGGAAGAAAGAAGCGAGTCCACCTTCCGAGTCACTACTCTCCTTTTAACATCTTCTCGCCAGAGACTAGAATTCACGTGGAGAAGCTTAATGCCAGTAAACTTAATCGCACTCAAAGCACCAGACTGTCCTCTCTAAGCCACCAGAGAGACGTAGAGGGATCACATACAACCCAAATTCTTCCCTAGACGAAGTCTGACTCGTTATCATTCAACCTCCTCGACGGCCACTGAATGCTTATTTCCCTCACTCTGTCCTCCTCCTTTCCTAAAATTCCATTCGCCTCATCCCTACCCACCTGCCGAGACCACCATCCCAAGGCCCTGGATACGCAGGACAAGCCCCGAGACATGGGGGCTGCCATTTTGTTCACGCAAAGGCCGCCGGGATGCAAGCCGAGGGGCAGAGCACCGAACCGGAAAAAAGATGCAAAGGGTGGAGCTCCCGGAGTGGAATTTTCCAGGGCGCGCGCCCTCGGCCGAAAGGTGAGGCGCGCGCGCGCGCACACGCGCTCTCTCTTGGGATGGGGGGGGGGGCGGCGTGTGTTTGCGCGTGCGCAGTGAAGCCACTCTAAAGTAGGGTAAATCGCACGGCCGTCACGCGCCAGCCGGAGACTAGTGGAGGGCTAGCTGCGCCTGCGCATGAGGGTTTCTGTGCGGTTTGGCGTTGCCGCATTCATGGTTACTTTAGCGTGTTGTTGCACTTAATTTACATTCGGTAAAAAAAAAAAATAAGAAAAAGAGAAAAATGCTTCCCTTTGAAATCAGAGGACTTTGAGATAAGTGTTTTCTTTCATTCCTTAGAATACACTGGAGGTATTTAGTGTGAAAATTAGAGTTTCTGGGTGTGTATCTGACCTCAAAATGCTGTGTATCACCTTAAACCTTAAACCTCACGTAGTTTTCTAAGTGAAAATTCTTTCTTACTGTTCCATTAGGGAAACTGACCGCTGTGATTACTGAAAAGCAAAAGGCACGTTTTCCCAAATATGTCATTTCCCAAAATATGTCATTTCCAAAAATACCACTTACCCAATTTGGTAATAACTGGTATTTCAAAATCGTTTACTCGGCACGTGGCAATTTAAGCATTTTCCATATATCAACTTAGTTATTTTTTTTAAAAGATTTATTCATTTATTATGTACACAGCGTTCTGCCATCATATTATAGATGGTTGTGAGCCACCATGTGGTTGCTGGGAATTGAACTCAGGACCTCTGGAAGAGCAGCCAGTGCTCTTCACCTCTGAGCCATGTCTCCAGTCCCTCAACTTAATTCTTACCACAGATAAAGAATATTCCTGTTTCTACATATGTGGTTGAGCCAGAGATACTATGTAATTCAAATTTAGACAAACTGAGAGTCAGGTCCAGGAAGTGTAAAAACTCCCCAGTTGCTTCACATTCAGTGAGTAAAGGTTATCCTTGAACGTCCAGTGCCATGAACACATCTGATCTGAAGAGCAGGTACTGTCTACACTCTTGGTTATATTCTGTAAACTACATAATTAATTGAGCACTTATCTCTTTTTAAAATTTTTTACTTATTATGTATACAATGTTTTCTGCTTGTCAGAAGAGGAACCTGATCTCCTAGGTGATTGTGAGCCACCATGTGGTCGCTGGGCATTGAACTCATGACCTCTGGAAGAGCAGCCAGTGCTCCATCTCCCTTGAGCACTTATCTACAGTATTTTTCAATAGATTAGGGGTTCTGGTCTTTGCATGGAAGAGTGTTCAAGCTGAAGTAGAATTGCTGATAGCTTCAAGTGCTAAGGGCTATTCTCTGAGGAACTAGAGATTCCATACAGGTTTGTAAATCATGCATTGTTTCAAATCTTAACTCCTTTTGTTTTCCGAGACAGGGTTTCTCTGTGGAGCCCTGATTGTCCTATAAGTCACTGTAGACTGTGATCCACCTGCCTCTACCTTCCCAGTGCTGAGATTAAAGGCCCGCACCACCATAGCCTGGCTCAAATCTTTTACTTCTATGGAATTTTCTATTCTTTGACTAATTGTGTAGCGGAGGATGGCTGTGGATTATTCCTCATCTTTCTGCTTCTACCATTCTACCCAAATGCTGGGACTTCAGGCCTACTCCACCATGACTGCCCTTTGAAACTCTTAGTAGTTTGGAACACAACCTGCTCCTGGGTTACCCAGCACCATTCCCCTTTCTTTCTCTCCTCCCATCATGTCCTGTTCCCCCCCTTCCCTCTATACCCTCCTAATAAACCTCTTGCATAGAAGATCAGTTGACCCAGACTCATTCTTCTTTTAATAATAACTAACAGAAACTTCTTCAGGAGTTGAGAATTTCCCCAAATTTCTAGCTATAGCTCTGAACCTATACCATGACACTCTAATAGTGACATGAAATTAGGTGCTATGTGTATGTATACGTATATATGTAACATTATAATACATGATGCATATAACATGACATGTATTAACAAATATACATAGTTAATAAGCATTCAGATGTGTGTTATCTATTATTTCTTTCACTTACTGTTATTATTGGTGTTTTACTTTGTTTTGTTTTATGACAGGGTCTCACTGTTCTGGAACTCTCTACACCAAGGTGACCCCAAACTCAAAAGAGGTTTTTCCCCACTGCTTCTGCCTCCTGAGTTCTGAGATTAAAGGTGTGCTCCACCATGCCTGGCCATAGATCTTTCCTTCTCCTCCTCCTCCTCCTCCTCCTCCTCCTCCTCCTCCTCCTCCTCCTCCTTAATCTTTAATGTATATAAGTGTTTTGCCTGCATGTGTGCTTGGACCCAGTGAGGTCAGAAGAAGGCATTGGATCTCAAAGAACTGGAGTTATGGATGGTTGTGAACTACCATGTGGTTGCTGGGAATTGAACCCTGACCCTCTGAAAAAGCAATGAGTGCTCTGAAACACGGAGCCATCTCTCTCCATCTAATACTGTCTTTACAGACTCCTGTCTATCTAACTCTATTCATTCTGAAATAAAACATGATGTTTTTAAAAAATTTGAAGTAAAATTAAAAAAAAACAACAACTTATTCTCTAGATGAGTGGCTATTGTCTACTACAGAACATTGTTATAATCTTTCCAGACTGGGCTCTGCTATGGTTTTTACTTGGAAGAACACCTGGCGCCCTTAACTGCCAAGCCGGCTCTCCAACCCCTCACTTTTACTTGGCCCATGCAGAGAAGGTGACACATCCTAACTCATCTCTGCCTAACCTCTGCTCAGTTTCTCAGCCACTGCAAACTAATCCCCTATCAGCCTGGATGAAATAAGAGCACTCAGTACAGTTTAGCTCACTCTGAGGAGGATTGTAGGTGGTCGCTGTTGCTGTTGAGTAGCTGTCTTGGAAAATTTTTATTATCCCTCTGCCCCATTAAATCCAAGGGTAACTGCCAGCTGTCTGCTGAGGAAGTAACACCGAAGGATATTTCTTAATCCCCCAACACATAATAGTTTGCATTTCTCTCGGAATGGAAGATGAAAAAAATTTGCCCCATTTGTCCTTCAGCAGCACACTAAAATCGGAATAACACAGAGATCAGCTTGGTGCCTCTGCAAGGATGACATGCAAATTTGTGACACATTCCAGCTTTTTATCGCCAGGATTAGTTTTCTTTTTTCCTTCTTCTTTTCTTGGGTTTTTTGTTTTGTTTTTTCCTTTTCTTCAAGACAGGGTTTCTCTGTGTAGCCTTGGCTGTCCTGGACTCACTTTATAGACCAGCCTGGCCTCAAACTCAGAGATCCATCTGCCTCTGCCTCCCAGTATTACAGGCTTGTGCCACTGCACCTGCATGATTAGTTTTCTACAGAAATTTTTCTTTCTTCAGTTCATACGTTTTCTAATTGTGCACAAATGCTCTCAACTTTTTTTTCTTTCTTGATTTCTTCAGTTCATATATTTTTTAAAATGTATTTATTATGTATACAGTGTCCTGCTTGTGTGTACACCTGCACACCAGAAGAGGACACCGGATATCATTATATGATGTTTGTGAGCCACCATGTGGTTGCCGGGAATTGAACTCAGGGCCTTTGGAAGAGCAGCCAGTGCTCTTCACCTCTGAGCCATCTCACCAGCCCCAGCGCATATATTTTCTAACTGTGCACAAGTGCTGTCAATTTCACCAGTTCTACAATTGTTTAGTTATGTACTGTTAAGCTTAGGTTTTAAAAGCTGGTAAATCCAGTCTTTGTCATTTATAGCACTTGGAGAGGCAGAGGCAGGCACATCTCTGAGTTCAAGGCCAGCTTGGTCTACAGAGTGAGTTCCAGGATGACCAAGGCTACACAGTGAAACCCTGTCTCAAAACAAAAACAAATAAGAAAAGAAAGAAAGGAAAATAGAGGCTAAAGAGATGGCTCAGGGGTTAAGAGCCCTTGCTGTCTTGCAGAGAGGACCCAAATTCAGTTTCCAGTACCCACATCATGACTCATATTGCCCTGTAGCTCCAGTTCCAGGGCGTCTGATGCCCTCTTCTGGACTCTGTGGGGATTACACACACAGTACACATATAACAATTGCAGATAGTACCCATATACTATCTGCATATACATAAAATAATAATAATAATAACAATATAAAATCTCTTAAGCAAAAAGTGAAAAGGAGCTGGGTGCGATGGCACACACCTGTGATCTCATCACTCAGGGAGGCAGAGACAGATCTCTAGAGTATAGCCTGGTCTACAAAGTGAGTCCAGGACAGCCAAGGCTACACAGAGAAATTTCCCTCAATATTCAAGGTGTTCGTGGAACCCTTTTTTTTTTTTTTTTCCTGGAGAAACTTTCAAATTGAACCTAAGGGGAGCAGGACTCCTTGTTTATATGTAGTCCAGTGGCAGACATTAGGATTGGAACTTACAGGGCATGGAGATATGGATCAGTGCTTCATAGCATGTACTGCTGTGTGGAGGATCTGAGTTCAATTCCCAGCAGTCATAGCAGGAGGCTTGCAACTGCCTGTATTCCAGCCTGAGGGGACTACAACAGCTCTGGTCTGTGCAGGTACCCCCACACACACGTATGCATACCGACACGTGTACACACAAAAACTTCACATAACTTATAATAGTTTTTTTTTTTTTTTAAAAAGAAAGCTATTGTCTGGGGATACAGATCCGAGGCGTGCTACCGTAGCATACAGGAAGCTTTGGGATCTATCTCCTGCACTGCATAAAACAGATACAGTAGCACGTGCCTGTAACCCCAGTACTTAGTAGTGACATCAGGGAGATCAGAGATATTCTTGGCTACATAGTGAATCTTAGGCTACATGACACCATGTCTTTTTTTTTTTTTTTTTTTTTTTCTTGAGACAGGGTTTCTCTGTGTAGCCTTGGCTATTCTGGACTCCCTTTGTAGACCAGGCTGGCCTTGAACTCACAGAGATCCACCTGCTTCTGCATCCCCGAGTGCTGGGATTACAGGTGTGCCTGGCACATGAGGCCATATCTTAAGGAGAAAAAAAAAAAAAAAAGATGAGAGCTGAAGAGATGGGTCAGTGGGTAAGAGCTCTTACTACAAAGAGGACCTGAGTTTGAGTGCCTCTGAACCCACATAAATAGCTAGGCAGTAATTAGGAGCACTGGCTTCTTTTGCAAAGGACCAAGATTCCCAGCACCCTTCATGGGCTCACTAATATCTTAACTCCAATTCCAGGGGATCTGATGCCCTCTTCTGAACTCGGCAGCCGCTAGACAGTAGGTAAACAGGTATACATGCACACAAAACATACACATAAAGATATAGAAAGATATGAAAGTTGGTGTAGCTACGTGTGTCTATAATGCCGGCACTGGAAGGTGGATACTGGCATATCTGGAGAGTTTGATGGCTAGGCAGTCTAGCCAAAAGGACAAACTTCTGTATCAAGGAGAGATTGTCTCAAGGCAAGACTTCTGAGACCAATAAAGAAAGACCCTGACGTCCTCTTTTGACCTCTGCAAGAGCACACATGGGCACGAACATACTGGCACAATGATGTGTGTTACACACACACACACACACACACACACACATCACATACATATACACACACACCTTTGGTTTTGGGGGATTTTTTTCCAAGACAGAATCTCTTGGTGTAGCCGTAGCTGTCCTGAAACTCACTCTGTAGACCAGGCTGGCCTCAAACTCGCAGAGATCCCCCTGCCTCTGCCTCCCAGAGTGCTTGGATTAAAGGCGAGCACTTCCACAGCCAGGCTTTGCTTTTTCAGCTGGAAGTTCTGAAATCTCTCTGAGCGACCTACATCTAGAAGAACATGGCTGAATTGAACAGGAATATATATATATTTTTTTTTCTGGAGAGTTGGAAGACTCTGGTTCTAAATATGATGATCCATGGATTATTGTGCTTCTCCAACAGAAGGGAGGAGGGACACGAAGAGAAGTGGCTTATTTGAGGCCAGATGCCACAGAGGAAAAAAGTCCCGTGACCCCTAGCAGGCGCTCTCAACTGATGTTAGCTAACAACATTAGCAATGCTTCTTTGTCACCCAGACTAACTCCCTGTGGCCCTCACTGGCGCTTAGGAATGTAATAGTTCTTGACGCAGCGTCTTGGCCACACCTGATTCTTCTCATCTATACAAAGGTGGTAACTGGATACCTAAATTACAGAATCATTAGTTCGTTAAAATCAAATGAGTTCCACTCCAGTTAGTTACGGCTCCATCATCTCCGCTTGCTGATGTCCCAGAGGCAAATCTGTATGGGCAGCCTAGAAGGATGCTAAGAAGAGTACCTGTCCCTTAGGTTGGACACAGAAGAGGGGACATCCCTACCCTAGAGACCACCTCCGTGCAGTGCCCCTAAACAAGAAATTTCCAGATCTGAGGTGGCTCCTCAGGGAGCCCTAGCATGCACTTCTCGTCTCTGCCGGAGCTAAACCACAGAGACGCAGGAAGTTTCCATGGCCCGGAGTTCTGCGGCGCTGCAGAATGCTCAAAGCTGCCTTCCTCTCTCCTCCGCTGCTGGGGACGGAGCCTTTGCCTTTGTGCTTGTCCTAGATTCCTCGTTCTGAAGGCATGTTTAGGGAGAGATATTATTCATCCTGGCTCAGCCAGGAAAGAAGCTCATGCCTCCCGCTGCTAGAGAGCGAGGTCTAGAACGAATCCCTCCCTCTCCTTGCTCCACTTTCCTCCCAGCTGGCTAAATCAAGCAATAATCCTAAAAGGGAATTTCAGGCTGTTTGTGAGCTGCCGCCCCCCCCCCCCACCTCTCTCCCTCACACCCACAGAGGGAGGAGAAGGCAAAGCCCTTGGGTCAGAGTAATCTGCTTCTAACCCACTTCCATTCTCAGGGATTACTTCTAGGGGGAGGGAGAGAGAGAGAAATAAATCAACGCCTTAGTGCCGGGAAAATGAGGAGGAAACTCCAGCTATGCCCTGGAGGGCTTATAGGTGACTGGATTCTAGGAGTCTGGGAGTTCCCTCCCTCCCCAGGGTCCACAGGCTGGAAAGCCTTTGGGTTTGGCAGTAATAGGCACTGAATCAAAGAGTGGAAAAGTTCACGACTTGTAGGCTAATGAAGGCGGAAACAGTCCCTGTCTGTATGTACAAGTTTCATGTCTTCATATGCTCTCAAGTTCTGGATAAAATCAACCCCATTAGCAAACAAGACGTGTGACAAGGTGCAAAGCTCTCTTTGGGGACAAAGGAAACAGGGGTCTCACAGTTGCCGGATTCCGTTTGTCCTGTGGCCTTAGACAGGTCACTTTGCATCTCTGATAACTGACTTGTCCTCAGTAAAAGGTGTGGGGGGGAGGAGGAGTCTCTCTCGTGAGTCCTAAAAGCCCAGATTCTCTCCTGATGTGGATCGCCTTCCTAACGCACAAAGGCCAGAGCCCAGGAGTGTGGCCCTGCGGAACTCTCGTGGGCCTCGTGTGAATCAGGGGCTTGGTTCACCCCTTTCCTCCAACCTGCACCTCATCCTCCACACCCATAGACCCCCTCCAACATCCAAACACGCGCTCCCCAACACCCCATCCTTTTGAGAGGCTCTTTAGTGGCTCGCTGTGTGCTGATGCGGGGAACTTCCACTAGAGGGTACCAGGGCTGCGCTGGGATCTCAGATCGCAAGCTTTGTGCTGGCACGTTAGGACTTCTAAACCTTTGCGTTGTGAATCGCAGAGCTAGCTCTCTGTTCAGGGCTTATCGCCTGGCCTGCTCTTACTGAGCTTTAAAAAAAAAAAAAATTGTCTTTAAAAGCCTCCACTGTTTTGGCATCACTTTAAGTTGACTTGCTCTCAGCTCCAAGGCAGCTTGGTATGATGGAATCCATGGGGGCTCTGGCAACTGGCGCGGAAGGACCTTGTATGGTTTCCAAATTCTATGAGCAAATTACTTAAACCTGCTGTGGCCCGTACCCTTTGGTGAGATGGGGGTTGCCAAAGTGACTTCGCCCAGCGATAGCATACGGATCCTGTTTCTGCTATAGGGCAGATGACTGGGGTTCTTTAAATGCAAGAGGAAAGTTTTGGAACCTACTGCCGAAGGGGTAATCATGGTGTTATGATAGATAGAGGCCCCCACAGAGAACTGTGGCTTTTCGCCATTTTACTCTTCCATCTTAGCAGTTTTTCAGGCAAATGCCTGCT